TCTTGACCTCGATACTAGTTGGAGGTGAGTGGTCAGCTTCAGTCTCTGGATGTTTTACCCCCAGGCAGAAACCCCTGTAAATATTGGGTACGAGAATGGACAGACACTAGAGCTGGTCTGGACGCTGGGAATTGAACCTCAGTTCCTCGGCCGTCTAGCACGTAGCCCAATGCAATATCTACTGAGCTATCCAGGTTCTGTAATTGTTTACAGATAAGCATATTAATATTGAAAGGGATTTGAGATAAACACGTAAAGTAATGTCATGTTTGTCTGAGAGTTACCCCAAAATTAAGAGCAACGTAAAAAAAAAACTCCTCGTCCTATTTCCTTGAAATAGCTCCTCAATTACACTCACGAGGCTGAGTGGACCCCGTTCCAGACCCACTACTTCTCAGAAAATCTGGTAGCGCCGGGAATGGAACCCAGGACCTGTGGATCTGTAGCCAAGAACTCTGACCACTAGACTACAGAGGTGGTCAGTGTACTATCCGTAAAATAAGGAAATCGCAACAGTTCCTTAATAATGTCACGTGTCCGGGGTTCCGTGACAAATAATTGTGGATTTCGGATTAGGTGAAGCTGTTTATTGGATGACTCGTTCACAGTTACAATTACCGTCACTCTGAAATAGCGTCTTCCAGACAATGTAACCTGACTAGTCCATCATCTTTCACGTTTCGTCTTCTGCTTCTTGGCTGAGCTTGTTTCTTCTGTTCTCAGCTCTGCTCCGTTCGCCACTGATCTCAATTCTGCTCCCGTCTTCTCTAATCTGATCTGATCTGGAACTGGAAGACAGCCTTCTTGAAGGGTATTCGTTTGAGCGGGAACTGCACTAGCTCTGCCTTTAATTTCCGTGGTAACGTCTGCCAATGTACGTGTTGTAGCGTTTACATGTTTACAATTGCCGCCTAGGCAACGAGTTATTCACTATTGTTGCTACTCAGCCGTTGTCTAGCAATGGACGCCCGATAAAATATTTTGGCTTTTAGGCGGCACGCCAGAAGAAAATAACAGATGCTTATGGAATTATGAGCCACGCTTTCCCTTCCTGACATTCAAATTAGTTTACATATTTCTCTGATGTCATTGATACTAAAATTAACTGGGAGTGCACGCCACAAACGAAGATATACTGCCTCTATGAACTAGAATAAGCCAGTTTAATGCAATTTTGAATGAAACGAGGTACAATAAAATAAAACGAAATAAAAAATGAAATACAATGAGATTAAGTAAAATAAGGAATAAATTAGTATGAAATAAAACAAAACACATTTCCAGGATAAGCGTCAAAACAGTGCGCCATTTGAATTTCTTGTTCTCCTTATGAACAAGACCCTCATTTCCATCCAAGTTTCTACAGATAACTTATTACATTTTGTCTCATTACAGAGATTTAAGAATTACAGAGAAATGCTGTTGTAAATATATTTTGCCTGATTGTTTCACAGTAAATTTTCGATATTGTAATGATAATTTGAGCTCACAATTTACATTCGTTCCTGAACTGTGGGCTATAATTGCGAACAATTTACGGGATACCGTAAATAGCTATTCTGTATAGTTAGTTCGGTATTGTCCTCCATTTAATCCCTTTCTTTTGTGTGCTATTTTAAAGTTTCATTCTAATTTCTGTAAGTAGTTCCAAAGGAAATTGAGTAATATGTTAACAGCAACCAGCAGTGTCGATCCATTTATATTCTTTACTTTAATTAATGACTCCGGTTCATGACTTCTGGTTGAATGAGGATTTTCAACAGCTCTTATCGTGTCTTGCTTGTTCGCATACAGTTGTGAACATGCAAACTGAAACCTACCTACATATGTTAGTCCCTCTGAAAAGAGTTTTGATATTACGTGACTCTCTCACTGTTCAAACCTAGTACAGTCTAGGCAAGGAAATGCTGTTATAAAGTGGTAAATGTAGAAAGAATGGGATATGTAATCTAGACTTCACAGCGGCAGAATTTGTTTTCATGAAATTTTGAAATCCTGCACCAAAACTTTCCTCGAACTTGACTCAGTTTTGTCCATTTTGTCATTTAGAAATCGAGATTAAAATTCCGCTGTCATTACTTTAATCCTCTGAAGTATTTGTCTAACTGATGGAGTTATGTAGACTATGGTTAGTTTTTTCTTTCCCCTTTGGCGCTACAGCCCCAATTTGGGCTTTGGCCTACCTCCATGAAACACTCCGTTTCACTTCGGTTTACTAGATCTTAGACATTCGGTAGGACTCCTTGGGCGGGTGATCAGCTGGTCGCAAGGCCTCTACCTGTACACAAACACAGAGAAACGCGCGCTCATATACACAAACATTAAACATCGATGCCTTGAGCGGGATTGGAACTCACGATCCCAGTGAGCGAAGACAGTGCATGCCTTAGACCGCTCGGCTACCGTGACCGGCCTATGGTTAGTTACTCTATGCTAAAATATGCCAAGAAAATTATATTTATGAGATGTATTTGTCTAGTAATACTGCGAACACACAGCAATTAATTTTTTTTTCCATGAGAAAGAGGATAATTGTTATTAACTTTATGGGATAGGTTGTTAAGGCCTGTATCTGTTGGCTCCCAAGATAGTCTTGGTTTCTCCGTCTTCGTGTTGGCCGACATCATTCTCTTTATTCCCTCTGTTGGGAGCGAAATGCCAGCTGCGAATGTCTGTTTCTTTCCCGTCTCTGCTAAGGAGCGTTGCTGTCTGAATATCTACGCAACTACTGTATCATGTCAGTAGCTAGATCGTATATCGTCGAATGGTGGGCCAGGGATGAACCAATCTAGGTACTCCGTGGCTTTAGTCCGCAAGCGTACCATACCGACCGCGCGACCGCCGCATGTTGGCGAAGTTAATACCATCTTTAGCGGATAGAGGGTGTCGCGTGGTCAGCGCCACGGATCTTTTCGGCCTTTAATTTCGGGTTTCTGGGCCGGAAGCAATCTACGTAATATCTCTGAATTTCCCTAGAGGGACTGAGGAAACCCGTAAAACCCCTCAGTCAGGACAGCTAGTAGCCGTTGCTCTTGATGCGATATTGTGTATGCATAATTCTCCATCAGTTTAAGTCTGTATTTATGTGCCCAAAAGAACTGAGATACATCTCTGAGATTTTCATTCTTGTAATTCTACACATTGTTGTCTTACGTGTAGTGACACCGTGAAGTCTTTTAAAATAATGAAATTGTTTCGGAGAAGAGCGCTGCCTTAGCCTTCAGAGTGGAAAATACGTCTAATAACTGTTATAGATTTTAGTGCAGAGCCGGGATAGCGACTGGATACAGGCTGGACAGCCAAGGGTTCGGAATTCGAGTCCCGGCCGGTGCAAGCATTTTCACTTCACCATGTCGTCCAGACCGAATCTGGGGCCCACCCAGCCTCCTATCCTATAGATACCTGGGGTAAGGAGGCGGGAGGGTGAAGCTGACCACTCACCTCAAACTAGTGCCGAGGTCAAGAATATGTAGGTCTATACATCCACTCCCCATACGCCTTCATGGCGTAGTGCTTAATTAGTTCAGCACAGGGTCAGCTTTACCTTTACCTTAACTAATAAATCTTAATAAGATAAATATTTCGTCATATAAGTGATTCATTTTCTCTACCTTAGTCTAGTTTCGAAAAATTTGGTACAAGTACAGTTTGGGCTTAATGTATCGTACGCGTTGTAATTGACAGCTTCCCTCACAAGTCGAATTCTTCCTACAACTTTCGGTGATGACATAAACATAAATTTCATCGAAATCTGACAAGCACTTTCTGATATCAAACATGAGGGCCGGCAGACATGCGTTAGAAAGACTTATACTTTGGGGGATATAACGCAGTGCAGTGCGATGAAAGTCAACGGACGTTTCGGAAGAACATGTCGCTGTAGAAAATGGAGCTGCTGCCTGCTTCAAGCTGGTTTCTTGCTCGGCTTCTTCTCCGACCGTCAAGAAGGAAGTGACGTGTTCCTCCTAATCGTCGGTTGACTTTCGCCGGACTACGAGGTGTTATATTCCAGGAAACAGAACTCTGCATTACCACCGCTGTGAGAACCTCACATCCATGCATTAATTTAATGCGCATTGCTGAAAAGACTTTTTTTTTCTGTGCAACAAATGAGGTTTTGCTCCTGACGGTGGCAGTACGTCTAGAGGTTTAACTCTTCCTTGTTAAGATAACTTTGATGAGGAGCTTCATAACTTATACCCTTCGCCAAATATTACTAACTTTAAGGAGCTGAGCCCGTCTTGTGAAGCTGCCAGTTGTGTAGCTACTCAAGAATTTCCCAATATTTTACGGAAGCCAAAAGCTCGTTACCATGTTCACAACAGCCATCCAGTGGTGACATTTCGTAACAAAAATATTTTCTACGGCGAGTTGTTAGTCCCACGCCCAACCCTGAAGCTGGAGGATAACCACCTGTCGGCTGTCCGTGACTGCTTATTTAATATATTCACAGCTACTGTCCATATCTGGAAGTCCTCTCCTCTATCCTCAACCTGAGGAGGTGTCATGTGTAATAACATTGGGCCCATTTAACATGGCGTTTAGGAACTTAGGGATCGCCAAATATAATTAGAATGACCAAGTTAAGGAGGATAAGTTGGGCAGGGCATGAAGGAAACATGGGAGAAGTGTATATAGGGGCTTTTGTGGGAACACCAGAAAGAAAGAGACCACTGGGAAGACCTAGACGTAGCTGGGAGGATGATATTACGATATTTGTTATAGGAATAAGATGGGCTGGTATTGATTAGATTCATCTGGCTTAGGATGGGAACCAGTGGAAGACTCTGTGAACATAGTAATGAATCTTCAGGTTCCGTAAAATGTTAGGAAATTCTTGAACAGCTGAGCTACTAGCAGCTTGTAAAGAAGGGACACGAAGGTACTTAGTTGGTTAGTTAAGATAGCTCTAAATATTTTGGTATACGTGCACCTAATCTTGTAACTATGAATCTCTATAGAATTAACCTGGTGTTATTGTCTTTGTCTTTCTGTTCCAGACTCCAGTTTATATGCTCACTATGTTTTTAAGGCCTTCGATGTTAACAGTAATGGAGCCATCAGTTTCAGGGTAAGTTTAAATATCCCACACAGATCTAAAAAATGTTTTTAGAAGTATTTTAATATCAGCTCTTATTACAAAATAATAATTATGAGAGACTAATACGTGTTTGCCTTTGAAATTACTAATGACAAAAAGGCAACTGCAATAAAACAAGTCATTATGCTGAAACAATATGGACGTAATTTGTGAATACTTGATATTCGGAACAGACAAGAATTAGGTTATGTTCTTATTGAAAATCATGTTGCATATTGTTCGCCTGTTCTTTAACCAACAGGACACACCACAGATAGACGGGCTCAGCATCTTGATATATGCATAAGGTAATATGTATTTTATTACCGGGACACTTATTCCGAGAAGTTTTATAATTATTACCCGATGAAAATTCAGCGGGATGCCTCGTGATTTGTTATATAAACTTTGGTACTGCTTCCTCTGCCATCTTCAGTACTCCTACCAAGTCCTTCATGTTATCGAATGATGCCGTTTCCCATGAATAGCGCTCATAAATAGTCAGTCGTAAAGTGCCTAGCTAGCTAGCTAGCTTTGATGAAGTGATTAACAGCAATACTTACAGCTTAGTTACTATGATTGCTTTTGTTAGTAATGCCACTGTTTGCTGGGAGCACGCGGTATCGTAGTTGGTTCAGGTACTATGGTACAAACCAGAGGGTTGCGGATTTGATTCTCAATGAGGTCATTAGATTTTTCAATTAACCTAATCCTTCCAGCCGCAATATAGCCCTGGGGTCGAATCAGCCTTTAACAGAAATGAGTACCAACCAGAAATCTTCTGGGAGTAAGGGGCTGCCGGCAAGTAAGGCTGACAACCTCACTGCCATCTCTGAGCCAATTGTCTAGAAAGTGTGGGGGCCTCGATGTCGCACAACCCTATGGGCCTCCGCAGCCTGTTATAAGGGTAAGGTCAAGGTGAAGTTGTCCCTGAAGGGCACGTATCGGGAGTGGATGTATAGACCCACATTTTTGTGACCTCAGCACTATTTGGAGGTAAGTGGTCAGCTTCACGCCCCGACCGCTTTATCCCCCGGGAAAGAGACCTCGGTACCCAATGTATAGGAGGTTGGGTGAACCCCAGAGCCGGTCTGGACGATGTGGAGAAGAGAACATTCTTGGCCGTACCGGGACTCGAACTCCGACTTCTCCGTCCGGCCCGTAGCCACTCGCTATACCGACTGTGCCATCCCGGCTCGCGTTTTAAGGATAGCTTTATCTTTATGTCACTGCTGGCTGCTGAGGCTACACGATTTAACACAATGACGGAGTTGTTTAAACCAACAGTACAAATTATTTAGGTGAATAAATTTGAAAGCAGAATATATATAAGATAAACACCGTCTTAAGTGTAACAATTTAATTGTAGTTCTTTCTTCTTTCCCCCCACTCCACACTACATGTTTCGGCCCTAAATGGCCATCATCAGGTGTATATTCTTACGTAGCTGTTACACTGCCTGTTAAAATTTAAAATCACCAGTCTTGTATAAAATGTTTGTTAACCTACACACGTTAATTTTGATTTCTAATTAGCACTTTTTTAAAACTTTAATTCAAGTTAAAATATCTATAAAATTTCTGTTCTTTTCTTTTTTCAAATTTTAAAATTAAAATTTTCCTCAGGGTACATGCCCTATGTCTAAGGGCTGCAGCGGCCACAATACCTGAACAACGATAAACAAGAAGTGGCCGCTGCAGCACTTAGACATAGGGCATGTACCCTGAGGGAAATTTTAATTTTAAAATTTGAAAAAAGGAAAAGAACAGAAATTTTATAGATATTTTAACTTGAATTAAAGTTTTTAAAAAGTGCTAATTAGAAATCAAAATTAACGTGTGTAGGTTAACAAACATTTTATACAAGACTGGTGATTTTAAATTTTAACAGGCAGTGTAACAGCTACGTAAGAATACACACCTGATGATGGCCATTTAGGGCCGAAACATGTAGTGTGGAGTGAGGGGAAAGAAGAAAGAACTACAATAAAATTGTTACACTTAAGACGGTGTTTATCTTATATATATTGTGCGAGTGTAACAGGATGCTCAAATATAATATTGAAAGCAGAAGTTACTTTTGTTACTGCTGGTTCTAGATATTCTTTGTATTAATATTACATGTTCCAAATCCTATAGTCATTTGACTAACTTTGGACCTATGGAATGCAATATAATGTAAATGTTAGTGTAATGTAAACATGAGTTAACAGTACTGTCTATTGTCTGTTACAGGATTTATTGGTGACCCTCTCTACTCTGTTACGTGGCTCTATCTATGAGAAACTACGCTGGACGTTTAAACTGTACGATATAAACGGTGATGGCTGCATAACCCGTGCTGAGCTAGCGGAGATAGTGGTGGCCATACATGAGCTGATGGGTAGACGGGCGCATCAGGTGAGGTCCACGGGGCGGTACGGGTCACAGGTATGTCAGGACGACAGGTACACAAAACGTGACCACCACGTGCTCTGTATTCGTTGTGATATGGACTAAAGGCCTGTGAACGGCCCAGAGATGACAACCACAGGTTGGTGAAGCCTACAAAGAGCAAAAACAGGAATGCAAACACTTGGGATTGTCGATCGTGAAAATGGGGAATTGTGGTAACAGTCTGATAAGAGAAGTGGCCCAGGGAATTGAAATCATAGTCTGATGATGGAAAATTGCTGCTGAAGTTATGGTTTAAGGAACTGCATTTTTGGTTTCATAAGGTTATGTTGCTTAGGGTATTAAAGTTCATAGTCAGATGATGAAGAATGACCTGAGGAGCGAAGGTTATGGTTTATATGAGATATAGTGACTCAGGAAATTATCAGTCTATTATACTGCAAAATATGGAAGGAACCTAAGGTAATACTTTAGCAATGAAAATGGGTCAGTGAAATAATATCACAGATTTACGAGAAAGATGGTTGTGGAAATTCAAGGAATAACTTGATTTCTTAAGGATAAAGGGTTCAGAGAAATGAGGTTATACGGTGTCCATAATTAAAGTCATGGAATAGTAGGGAAAATATTTCGGGGAATGGAATTTATATTTTAGCGAAGAAAATGTTTGTTCTGTATACAGTTTTTGAGGAATAGTTGGCCGAAACATGTAAGGCAGGTGGTGACGAGGTGGAAAACTTAAAAAAGTGTCACATTTGACGGAAGGAACTTGATTGTTAATTGAATAGTTGGTTGTTTTGATCATGAAAAAAGGGGCTTAAAAGCATCGTGAACAGGGGAAACTTGTGGCTTATATGTTATAGATTTCATAACGGAAAATATACACCTGTCCAAAGAAGTATGTGAACATGAAAGTAATTGTAATGGAGCACAGTTTCATAATGGAATCTGAAAGACACTAGTTTGTGATAATCAAGCTGAGCGCTGTTAATTGATATGGGGGAGAGATAAAAATTATGTAAATTAAAATTCTTTTATTGCCTAAAGTTGAGGGGGGCGGGGTGCAAGATCTAGGGCGAAATAAAAGTAGGAAATATAAGACACATAAACGGATGTCAGTATATAGCATCTGGCCCAAATAATTAACATGAAATCTCATTCTTCTTGACTGTTTAAATTCCCAGCACTCTGAAACTCTGTACATTACTCCTTTGTCCCCTCATAACTCTTCACACATTATGCATATGCATCAGAGGAAATTCAATTTATTATGTTTTAGTGCATTAGATGAAGCAGTAACTACATGTGCCTGCAAGCACAGAACTCCAATTGCCAGGTAACGCAAAATCACATATTGCAACATATACACAGACTCCTCCAGTACAATGGGCTAATCACGTCAACGAGAACAGGGGTACGTAACAAACGAGTGTCAACTACAAGGGTACACATTCTCAGAAGACAACTCAACTTCCTGCAACAAGGGTACATATCTTACATGGTTTGTAGAGAAATATATGTTCTGTGTATTGTACAGGCAACACTATTTGGATACTCTCAGTAACCAGCTGACTTGAAGCTGTGAAACAGATGAGAGTGTTTGTTTCTGGGTTTGCATGTTCAAATCCCACGTAGGGCATGATTGTTTAATGTGATATTTGTTGTATTAAATGTTACAATACTGATATTGTTTTAGTTTTGTAAAATGCTACATGTTATTAAACAGAATATATCAATGCAAAAGATATTTTGGGAAATCAGATGATCAGATATAAATACTATTTCTCTGGAATATTTTGGCACATGAATTTAGGCATGAAATCCCAATCCTGCACAGTACTACTTTCTTGTGGTGAATTTCTTGTAGGTGGAAGATGATCGGAAAGCGAGAGAACAGGTGGACCGGGTATTCAAAAAATTAGACCTCAACCAAGATGGTGTCATCACCATTGAAGAATTCATTGAATCGTGCCTCAAGGTAGGATTATCAATAATTTAATTTAATTTTTAGCTTATACATTTGTCATTAAATTTATTTCTTTGCGGTTTGTGTGCACTGTGTTGTTGCGCATGGAGCATAGGTCATTGATGGAACAATTCATCAATAATGAAACTTCTGTTACGGCTGATGGTTCCAAGTATTCAGCAAAGGACCCAGGATCTCTGAAGTGCCATAATACTGAATAGTAGAAAAACACTCTTCACCTAGCTCAGTTGTCTTAGGAATCTGCCCCAATAATAGATTTTGCTAGGGAGTACATACGCAGTAAATGAGAAACGAAGCATTATATATATCCAGAGTAATTTATGTCTTTTTCAGGCACATTAGCAACCCTATGGATCAGGTATTAAGTTCTCACAGTCTGTCTGTATTTATTAAAAGAACTGAGAACTGCTACATGGACTTCCATGAAATTTTATATTAGAAAATTTTACAAAAGTTTGCTGAGCCATTTCTTTTTTAATTTAGATTGGACATTATTAACGGTGACTTTGTATGGCCTACATGTGTTCACATCTAACACGGAATAGTTTAATATTAATTTAATGTTCTTTTATTGTAAGGCAGGGTTAATTATCATCTTAGTTATTTTACTTAGAATTCCCTCTGCACTGTCTCTGTGGTCTAGTGGTCAGAGTTCCTGGCTACAGATCCAGAGGTCCCGGGTTCAATTCCCGGCGCTATCAGATTTTATAAGAAGTAATAGGTCTAGAACGGGGTCCACTCAGCCTCATGAGGATAACTGAGGAGATATTTCTAGAAAATAGCGGCTCTGGTCTAGAAAAACGAGACTAACGGCCATGGAGATCCGTTGCGCTGACCACCCGACACCCTCTATCCTCAAAAGTTGGAACTAACTTCGCCGACAAGCGGCGGTCGCTCGGTCAGCATAGTTCGCTTGCGGACTACAGGCCATGGAGTTTGTTTCCTTCTGCTGGATGCACCTGGCAAGTGTGTGCTGTACAGTTTTATAATCTTTTGAAACATTTACACTATTACATATTTATAAGTAACTACATGGAGGAGGTTCCTTCTTCAGAATTTATTAGTCACGCAGCTAGTTAAAAATCCCATGCTTTCTATGAAATTTGAAGCGTTATTACTATATCTGTTACATGTCCCTCTCCTGAGGCAAATTAATCCAGTCCACATCTTCACCTCCTATTTCTTTCAAATCCATTTCAATATTTTCATCCTGTGCATAAGTCTTCAAGTTGTCTCTTTCCTTCAAGCTTTTTAACTAAAATTGTGTATGCATCCTCCTTGATTTGGTGATCCTAATAATTTGGTTCAGGGTCATACAAAACTGCATGTCTATAGATGATTCTTTCAGTTGCCCTCTACATTGCTTCTGCTTGAGAAGTATATGTAATGTTGCGATTTGAGGATGACAAATTGTATAGTAGATAAACTAGAAGCATAATCTGTGATTGGAATGAGATTTCAGTTTATTTTTCTTTTGTAACCATCACTAGGGATGAATGAAGAGCTGTAATTGGTACTGATGCACAGCAATCCCCCCCTCCAACTTTTGCATTATTGAGTCCACTAATTCCACCGGGACATGGTGCCCCCAGTCGTCCTTGTCAACAGCTGCTGATTACATTGCATTCGCTTATGCTGCTGCAGTATTCTGTCTACATGTAATGTTCTCCCATAATAACTTAATCAGTAGTGACAAAAATGGATCAAAATGCAAAATTGACTTTACACAGGATTATAAATGTGAAGTGTATTTACAAATAAATATGGTGTGGACAAATTAATTTGATGTGGGATAGGGACCCATGTCAGTTGTCCAGAATATGGTAATGAATTTTTAGGTTCCATGAAAGAAAGGTATTTTCTTGACTTCCTGAATGACTATCAGCTTCTGAATTTACAGAGGTAAAGATAAAGTTGTCCCTGTGCTTAATTAATTAAACACCACATGTCGTGAGGTGACCGCCTATGTGGTCTAGTGGTCAGACTTCCTGGCTACAGATCCAGAGGTCCGGGTTCGATTCCCAGTGCTACCAGATTTTCTGAGAAATAGTGGGTCTGGAATGTGGTCCCCTCAGACTTATGAGGATGATTGAGTAGCTATTTCAAGCAAATAGCGGCTCCGATCTAGAAAACCGAGATTAACGGCCGTGGGGATTGTTGCGCTGACCACGCGACACCCTCTATCCACTAAAGTTGTCACTAACTTCGCCGACAAGCGGCGGTCGCTCGGTCGGTATAGTTCGCTTGCGGACTAAAACCACAGAGTTTCTTTTGTTTGTCTTTTTTTGTCGTGAAGGTGTATGACAGAGTAGAGGTATACCTTCACCATTCTTGACCTTGGCACTAGATGGAGGTGATTTGTCAGTTTCAAGCCATGGCTGCTTTACCCTTGGGAAACAGCACCTTGTTACCCATGTGATGGGAGGCTGGGTGAGCTCCAGAGCCGGTGTGGACGCGGACAGTTATAAAACATAATTATACATGTGATATGAATCAAGAATTTTCTCTTCGGCATAAATAATCTCCTCATGCAGATGAAATGCAATTAGCTTCCGGAATGTGATCATGCCTTGTGATGTGCATGTCATGCATTCCAACGTCTATCCGGTATGTTGAAGCATATCCAACGTCATGATAAGGAGACAACAAGAAGTACTGAACACCCGAACGAATATGTCCTGTACGTTTCATCTCTCGATACAGAAATTAAGTGACACAAATAGAACTGAGAGCCTTGTTATACATTTTAATACGTATTACTAATTTATTGAGCTTTAATGAAAACTGTCTGTCTGTGCCTATCCGTTCGTCCGTCCATCCGTCCATCCGTCCATCCATCAGCCTCTTCTTCCCACTTGGACCATAGGGCATCTGTGAAAGCTTGTTTCACTTCAGTTTCTTAGTCAGTTGGTAGGAGTTCTTGGACGGGGGCTCAGCCCGTCTCAAGGCCGCTACCTCCACACAAACACAGAATAAACGCAGACAAACATCCATGTTTTCAGTGAGATTCGAACCCACGATCCCACTTTTCGATAAGGCGAAGGCATTTGATACCTTAAAACGCGGGGCCACCGTAATCGGCACGGACAGAATTAGCCGCAGAGAAAACATCTTGCTGGGAATAGTGTGTACGGGATTATGAGCCTTAGAGATAGATTAGCCAATGGTTAACCTAGTACGTATCAGTATTAGGGATGAATGAGCAGCTGGTCTTGTCTTTAAGGACACTGATAAGAAATGGAGCATCGATGTACTTCTGTCTGGATTGAAGTGCTTACAGATTCAGCTGTGTAATCGCATTAAGTGGCTGATTAATGCTGTGAATTCTTCTTCTTCTTCTTCTTCTTCTTCTTCTTCTTCTTCTTCTTCTTCTTCTTCTTCTTCTTCTTCTTCTTCTTCTTCTTCTTCTTCTTCTTCTTCTTCTTCTTCTTATTATTATTATTATTATTATTATTTACGTGCTGAGCTCAACAGCCAGTGGCCAGTTACAGAGTCAACACGAATACAAACAGCAGCAATAAGCTAAGTACGAGGATGAAACAGACAAAAAGGCAAAGAGAAATTGATCTCATAAGGACGTTTAATTATAGTAATAGTAGTGATAAATTCAGTATGTGGGAAATACTGTTTATTTTGTTGGGTCACAGCTCAGTACTCCCGCAAGCAAACAACGTTTTTGCAACAACTGTGGTGAGGCCTCTCACAGGGGCTCATGAACAGACAGTGTGTAATGCAGAAGGGCTGGCCTCTCACAGGGCCTCATGAACAGACAGTGTGTAATGCAGGAGGGCTGGCCTCTCACAGGGCCTCATGAACAGACAGTGTGTAATGCAGGAGGGCTGGCCTCTCACAGGGCCTCATGAACAGACAGTGTGTAATGCAGGAGGGCTGGCCTCTCACAGGGCCTCATGAACAGACAGTGTGTAATGCAGGAGGGCTGGCCTCTCACAGGGCCTCAGGAACAGACAGTGTGTAATGCAGAAGGGCTATCGTATCGTTCTGCTGATTGTATCGATTGATCTTCACCCGGGACCCTGCTGCGTTCTGTCACAAATCCCTGGACGTTTCAGCAAATGACGTTTATGTGATGTGTTGAGCACATATATATCCTTCGCTATTTTCTTTGCTTCTCTCCTACAAGTTTTGTTGTTTCGTCATCTCCTGTGTCTCTTTTACCCGTATTTAATTTCATACTTTTCTTCGTGTTCCCTATGTTCCTTCTGTGGTTTTCCTCTACTTTCCTAAGCCCGTCTTCGTCTTTTATCATAATTTCTTCCTCTATCTTTAATGTTGATCTCATTTTTTCCCGTTCCCTCTTATTTCTTATTGTTCTCCTCTTCTTTTTCCCTTCTTTCACTCCTTTATCGCTGTTCCTTTCATTTCTTTCAGTTCATTGTTTTTTTTTGCGCTTTTCTTAATTTTTTCTTCAGTCATTCCATTTTTTTCTCTTTCCTTCCTTATAATTTATCGCCATTTATTTCTCTTCTAGTTACGTTTTCTTCTTTCTTCCCTTGTTTCCTTTTCTGTGCCTTTCTTTGACTTATTACATCTGTTATCTTTATTTCCATTCCTCTTTAACATGCGGCTGCAACAACCAAGATAAGATACTGCTTGCAGAAGTACGGCGCCATTCTGCTTATTGTGTGCACAATCTTCTTAAACTGTTGTCTGCCCTTGTCACTGACGGTCTGTAGTCTGCTTCTTCCGCGCTGCGTATTCGGGGAAGTATTTGACAGTTTTAAGGCGTTTCGAGAAATGTTATTATAGCGAAGAAAATTATGCCCAAATCTCAAGTGACAGTGGCAGTAATATGAGAACAGCCATATCGACACGCCACAATATTCATTGCTGGTTTACGTATCCTTGTCACTGCACGTACCTTCAATGTTACAGCTGTCACACGACAATGTACAATTAATTACTGTAATACAGGAAAACCAGATGGGACTGAAATTAAATGAGACACATCAGCTGCTGATCTATGCTGATGATGTGAATCTACTGGGTGATACTATATACACACAAACTTTAATTGATGTTAGTAAGGAGGTTGGTCTAGAAGTAAACACACAGAAAACTAAGTATATGTTGCTGTCTCGTCACCTTTTGCAGAGCAAAATCATGATACAAAGATAGGAAACAGATGTTTGGAAAATGTGGCACAGTTCTGATATTTGGGATAGACTATAACAAATCAAAAAACTGATTCAGGAGGAAATTAAGGGGAGATTGAATTCAGGTAATGCTTGCTGTCTTTCAGTCCAGAACATTTTGTCTTCTCGTCTGCTGGCCGAAAACACAAAAATCAAAAAGTACAAGACTATAATTTTTGCCACTGGTTCTGTATGGATGTGAAACTTGGTCTCCGACTTTAAGGGAGGAACACAGACTGAGGGTGTCTGAGAACTTGGTGTTGAGGAGAATATTTGGACGGAAGAGAGATGAAGTGACGGGAGGTTGGAGAAAAAACCGCATATTGTAGAGCTTCGTAACTTGTGCTTTTCACCAAATATAGCTGGAATGATCAAGTAAAGAAGAATAAAATTGGAAGAGGGAGAAGAGTAATGCATCTAGGATATTGGTGGGAAAGCCAGAAGGACAGAGATCACTAGGAAGACCAAGACGTAGGTGGGTGGACAATATTAAAATGGATCTTACAGAGAGAGGATGGGATGGTATGGATTGGCTCGATCTGGCTAAGGACAGGGACCAGTGGATGGCTCTTGTTGAAACGATAATGAACCTTCGGGTTCCATAAAATACTGGGAAATTCTTGAGTAGCTGCAGAATTGGCGGCTCCTCCAGAAGGGCTCAGCTCCATGGAGTTAGTTAGTTAGTTAATGTAGGACCATGCTTAGTCTACCCGAATTAATGGTCCACTAATATGTGATCGCAGCCGGTCACGGTAGCTGAGCGGTCTAAGGCATGCACTGTCTTCGCTCGCTCGGAAGCCGGGATCGTGGGTTCGAATCCCAGTCAGGGCATGGATGTTTGTGTGCGTTTTTCTGTGTTTGTGTACAGGTAGAGGCCTTGCGACGAGCTGATCACCCGCCCAAGGAGTCCTACCGTATGTCTAAGATCTAGTAAACCGAAGTGAAACGGAGAGTTTCATGGAGGTAGGCCTAGGCCCAAATGAGGGCTGTAGCGCCAATGAAAAAAAAATGTGATCGCTTCGCCTTCTTAAACCTAGACAACAAAATTGTGCCACTAAGATTTGTAACCATACTTAGATAGGCGTAACATCTGTCTTGTAATCCATCTTGGTAAGATTCTGAAGGAAACCTATAGTCCCACCTTCGGAAAACAATTAGCCAACTAAACGTGTTTGTCCGTTGGACCGTCCCCTGTTTTAAAATCAAAACGTTAATATTATGCACCTGTGTTTTCCGATTTCCATCGAATTGGTCTGCCACTAAACTTTAATTTCAACAAAAGAGTACACTTGGTCGTCGGCTTATGACCGGCCGCACTTACGACCACAAAAAAAAATAAATAAAGATGATTAAAATGTGAAAGTTTTAAAAGATAAATTATAAAGGTGATAAAAAGATTAGAAAGTTTAAAAAATACTGTTAATAAATGTATGGCCGACATACGACCAGATCGACGTACGACTTCTCAGTCAGAACGGAAGTCGGTCGTAAGTCGACGACCAAGTGTATTTAAATTTGAGTATTTTGTGCTGCAGAAGCATTTTACGAGCCTGTACATGAAACCTGGTAGTCCTCTGATGAAGTTAGTGCAATTAAAATACATTATCCCATAATCCTTCCCCATAGACTGTCCATTAAATTAAATTCCTGCGTTCCCCAGACCCTTTCTGTGAGGCGCTTCATGCTTCAAAGTGGTCGAGGCTTTGAAACTGATTACTCCCTCACCTCTCACGGCTCATTGTCCACACAACAATGCGCTGTTATTCACCGCAAGGAAAATATGGAGAGGAGTCATATTTCAGCATTATTCTACAAAGCTTACTCTCCGGTCTCCTTACCTTGCCGTTGTGTCACCCTTCTCACGATCTTCGCACCCTATTCATAATGCTCGTAATCACATTTTCGGTCATAGTAGTGGTTGGCACTACTGCCTTCGCCCGCTCGAACACTGCGGTACAAGGTTCGAATCCCACTCGAGGCTTGGATGTTCGTCTAAATTTGTTCTGTGTTTATGTTGTCGTGTGTAGGTAGTGAATGTGGAAACTGCACAGTGAGGAGCTTCATAGCTTCTTCTCCAAGTATAATTATAAGATCAAGTCAAGGAGTATGAGATGTGCAGGGCATGTAGCACGAATAGGGAGAGGAGGAATGCATATAGGATATTGGTGGGAAATCCGGAAGGAAGGAGACCACTGGGAAGACCAAGACGTAGGTGGGTGGGCAATATTAAAATGGATCTTAGAGAGATAGGATAGGATGGTATGGATTGGATTGATCTGGCTCAGGAGAGGGACCAATGGAGGGCTTTTGTGAACATTGTAATGAACCTTCTGGTTCCATAAAATGTTGGGAAGTTCTTCAGTAGCTTCACAATTGGCGGCTTCTCAAGAAGGGCTCAGCTCCATGAGTAAGTGAGTGTAGGTAGTGGCCTTGCGACGGGCTGATCCCCCGTCAAAGGAGTCCTACCGACTGTCTATAACAATAAAAAACTGAAGTGAAACGAAGGGTTTTGACGGATGCCCTAGGGTTCATAGGGGGCAACAGGAATGAGAATGATTTAATGAATGAATGAATGAATGAACGAATGACTGAATGAGTGGTAGGCACTGTTGTTTTGTGTTCATGAACTTGAAGTTAAACCCTACCGAGTTATTCTGATATTTTCCTGTTTCTACAGCCAAGTTCTCGAATAATTCAGACATATCACGGTTTTGTTCCCCCACTTTCTAATCTGTTCACTATGCATAATCACTAGCATACTGTACTTGACAAAAAATAAACCAATCAGGTACAAAAGCATTTTAAGAATGTGTACAAAATACAGAGATAATAAAGGTAAACTTGTCCCTCTGCTTACGTACTCCATCATGGGGGCGTGGATGTATAGATCCACATATTATTCACCTCAGCACTAATTGGAAGTGAGTGGTCAGCTTCGCTCCCAGGTTTCTGTACCTCTGGGGATAGAGCCCCCACCTGTAGCCATTCGACAGGAGGCTGGGTGGGCCCTAAAGCCGGGTTGGACGAAGTGGAGAGGAGAGAAATCTTTCCTCTACCGGGACTCGAACTCCGACCCCTCGGCCGCCCAGTCCATAACCAGTCGCTACACCGACTCCCAATATAGATATAATGGGAAAATATATATTCGATTTCATCCATTATTGCATGTATCTTCTCATTTCATTTCTTTTGTCCCTTGTTTGAGTCTATACGTTTTTCTCTGCTGCATCTCATTCCTCATTCTCATAGGGCGGCATTCTAATATCTGAATGTGATCAACGTGAACTTCGTGGTCTGAAAGGTACATCAGAGTGTCGTTGAGAAACTGGTAACGTTTTCCCTTCCTCCCGTAGGTCATTTTCTCTTCCTGTTGCCTTGTTTTTATTCACAGCAGTCTCCTTTGTCTGTCTCCTGTACGCACAGAGAATATCGTATCTTCCGCACTTCTATTGCTTTGGAATTCTGCATAGGCCTGCCATGAACGTCTGTTAGGACTTAAGATAAGAAATGTTCCACGATGCAAAACCTATCCTAAATTGGTACGTCTTCCATCGTTCCATGCAGTCGCCTCATTTCTCACATCAAATATTTTGTACTGCATCAGCCAAGACATGTCAAGCTTCCGTAATGTAAATAATAATCTGTCTGATGGCTGTGAACAGCGGTTTATGCTTTAGTTTACAATGCCATCAGCATCTATAGTGCCACTATATGGACCCCTCACAGGGGCGAAGTAGGACATCTTTCTACTGAATCATATTGCAGTCGAGCTCATACTAAAATAATGAAACAAACCTGAATTTAAAGGCACATTATACACTAATAAAGACTTTCTTCCGGTGTTTTATAGTAAGTGCGACTGTATTCTTTAAGCCATGATTGATTGTTGTGTATGAAATTCGAAAATGAACTCATTATATCCCTCTTCTTTACTTATTTCAGAATTTAAGACTTATGAAGAAATCATACTGGACATAAAATGTGTTTTGGTCTTCTATACAGTTGTCCTTAAGAAATATTCTCTTTGATTAATATTAAATGAGATACACCCAGAATGGTAGCTAAGCATGTCCAGTATACAAACAAATTTCCATAAATGTCTTTGATATCAAATTGATTGAGAATCCATCAAGTGGTTATGGAGTTCTTTCATATAATAGTCACTCTGCAGTGTTGTGAACACTACTAAAATGAATAGTTACAGAAGCTGAAATATGTACTCTTTGCAGGATGAGGTCATCACTAAGTCCTTGCAGGTGCTGGATTCTGGCACTGGGCTATGATCCAAGGCCTCCCCCCAGCATCAGTTGAGGCTGTTCCGTTCGTTTAATGGAACGTCGCTTCTACGTCAACACTTCAACGAAGAGGCACTAGCGGCGTTCGAGGCGGCGCTGCGATCAGAATGGGCTTCCCTCTGTGTGCTGGGGGCAGGATAGAATTACCCCAGGGACAATTTGCTTCCAAAATTTTACCCTCCTTCAAAGTGTTTATTCTTTACTGGGGTGTGAACCTCATGGTGTGTGATTCCTACAGAACCTAAGAATAATCTTATTTGAAACATTTGTTCTTGTAAATGTGGTGAAAGGTAACACATAAATGTTTCTAGTTACAGTGGAAAAAATGAAAAACAATGTCAATAGTGAGTTGTGATATGGGGATAGTATATGGTACCAATACACTGTTGAGACAGAAATGTACAGTTTCCTATTAATTTGACTATGTTGGTACTGCAGACTGATCAGGAAAAAGTATAGTATTGTGGTTAAATTAAAAAAAAAAATCTGTAATGGTGCAATAGAAATGTGTCTGGGTTAGTCCACACAAACACCAATTCATTCATACCATGTGCTGCTTCAGTTTATTTTATGCACAGATAATGAAATTGTGTGTTGAAAATGGATACCTGAGGAAACAAGAACTTGCATGAAATGAGAGCTAATGAAGTTTACTTTAGTAAGTTCTCATTAGTATTTTGATGAAATGTTGGTGTGTGTGAATTCTGAAAGGTTTTAATAGATTTTTTAACCAGATGTTATGTAGGGAATATTGTCAGAAGTAAGATAACTTGGCAATACTATTTAAGCAAATACATTTTCGACAATGAGATTGCAATAATATTCCTACATGGCTTATATCTTAATTTTACACACACATGGAGAAGCACTGTAATAGATAAGAAATGGATAAGGAAAATGTAATTCAAATTTATGCAGCAATTAAAATGCAGATCAGTTGTCACTCATGCATATTTCATAAACACAAAGTGAGGTTGTCTTTCTGAATGGGTATGTAACTTTCTGTTCATTGCTGAGAATTAATTTGCACTGCCAGTAAAATGAACAGACATAAAGGCTAGTGACTGGTTTGCTTTGAGTGGTAGGGTTTGTAAGATATGTGGAACTTTCCCAGTTAATATTTGGGAATGAAATATGAATAACAAGAAAAAGAAATATGTTGATTGTTGAATTGTTATAGTGGTTCAGGATTTTAAAATACATCTCAAGATCCAGCATTGGTCCTCTCCTAACAGATAACATTTCTTAAGAAAATGGCTCCAGGTTCAGTTTGTGTGTACATGGGTTTGAAGAAAATAAATTCAGATCCCAGTTGCTTCCTTTGATTCTGTAAGGAGGGGTTAGTTGGGACTGCTGTTAAGAAGTTTATAGTAATATTTGTTAGCCATTATTTTACCTGTAGTGAGATTTCATTCATAACTGTGTTGTTCGTAAGCAACTTTAGTGATAATATGATACATTACACACGTTAATTTAACTTATATAGTAAGAAACCGGTTGTTTGTATTTTCCAAAAGCTTCAGCTGCCAGAAATATATATTTGTGTTTGTGACATTCTTCAGGAAGGTAAAGAAGAAGAAATTGGATCTTATATATTAGTTATGATTTATTATTGCAAGGAAGAACATAAAAATTAATCTTCATTACACAGACAAATTAAAATTTATGCATTGCAAAAAAAAAAAAAAAGGGATTAACCTTTTAAAATCCCAGATGAAACAAAAACTGGAACATAAAGCATGGTGCTAATCATCTTAAAGGCATAAAGAATGCCATTTTTCGAAAATGATCTACTTTGGGCTGTATTTAATTTAATATCTGAATTTGTATGCTGCTCTAAACTGTATACTAGACTTCCAATGAATGAGTTTCTATTAGCAGGTAAATAATTATAGCAATTAAACAATAACAAATGCATTAGGCCTATTGATCTGGTCCTGTTAACATTAGTAACATCGGCCTTCATTTCTCTATCTTATTTCCCCAGACATCTTCTTTGTTGTCTACACTGTGGAGCTTGTCTTGCTATATTACTATCTGATTGCCATTCTAAATATGCTTTTTGTTTACTTATATCTTATACGTACACATCATCATTTAATGAGTAATAAAAAATTGACTTAAAAATTGAATTTGTTATCAGATAATATTTTTAGTTCATAATATGGATGTATGAGGGATTTATCACTCTGTTATAAAAAATATTAAAGTGAGTTGCTGAACAAGCAGCAGTTACTTATGTAAACATACAGTGGATAGTTTTGTATATGTTATGGCACAAATATTATGAATTATTATTATTATTATTATATTATGTATAATAAATTCTGACACATATATTTATTTAGATAATCCTAAAATGGAACTTAAGGAAATATGATTTCAGGGTGTGGACTGTATTCATCTGGCTCAGGACAGAGACCAGTTGCAGGTTCTTGTGAATGTGGTAAAGAACCTTTCCTGTTCTGTAAAAATGGGGAATTCCTTGCCTAGCAGAGTGACTGCTATCTTCTCCAGAAAGATTCTGCTCCAGGAGTTACTTAAATTTGCATACTTTTTTGCAGACTTTATACTATAAATGCGTGCACACACACATACACAGAAACAAATATGATCACAAAGATCTGTGTTCATGATTTTATGTCAGTATATCTGATTTGTTATCCTCTGCAACACATGTGCTTATATTATATTGTTACTCTTTATAAATAAGGGTGAACATCTTCAACCAACCTGATATGGTTTGAAAGTGCTTAAGAAACACTCTAATTTACAAACTAATGAATGCCCCTGAAGAATAATGTAATTATACAGTAATTATACCTTATGACCCTAGTAACACTACTGTATTGATACAGTACATTAGAGCAAAAGAAAGACATGTGCCTCCATACAGTGATCATTGTCTCCCATTTTGATATTTTCTGATTTTATTTAAGTATAGAATATAGTAATTTCTGCATCTAATATTGACAGTTTATTTGTTATTTAAAAATTAGGCTTATGCATAGAATTTGACAGAATTTTTCCTCTAGTGTAGAGAGAATAATGGAGCACTTAATAAGATAAGAATTTATTTGAATTGTTATGACTGGAGTTGAATTAGAACCCATACATCACAGTTATTTAGAAATGTCTGGAGATGTTGGAAAGACTACTTATATATAAAGATGTTCATTTAGATATTCATATTGTTCTGAAATAATGTGTTTCTAAGTGATGTATACATTCCAGAATTCATTTATTCATTTCTTTGAAATGGAAAGGAAAACATAATTGGCTGTTATATTCCATTATGATACATAACTTTGTTACAATAGCAATTCAATTTGTTGTGTATATAAGAGTCAAGAATATATGTTCATATTTGTCAGTCTGATCTCACCTTTGTTCATTGATGTTGATCGTGTGGTATTATACTCTTACATGGACATGTATTATCTGTTAATGAGGTTTTTAGAAAAATTCAAAGTCTTCCCAGTTAGTGCAAGATAATGCTCAGAATTATAGAAAATAAGGCTGCTTAAATTACATACATGTTGAAGGTGACATATTTTGGTTTTGTGACAGAGTCTACTATGCGATACACTGTATTGTGGATGTGTTGTATTAATGTAAATGTAAAGCGCCATATTTTGTTGTGTAATAGGCCTCACTAATTCCATCCTGAAGAGGATATATAAAATTGTCATGTGTTGGGTGTGTCACGTGACAAATAACTTTAGGCCTTATTGAATATAGCGACTTTATTGAACACTCGCTCTCACACTCACACAATTCAGAATTACATCCACTGCTCTCAGTGACTGCTAAACTTCTGCTGCACTCGGCAACTTCATGACCTGCAGTGTGTCACTCCTGATCACACATTTTCTTTCTGGTTTGGTTTGGCCACCATGTCCTTGTGGGTGGTGCTGATCATTTTCATCATTTCTTTCAGTTCTCTATGCTCGGCCTGTCTGTCAGCCTCCAATCTGGACAGAAACTCTTTATGGCCGGCCTCCGTCTTAGCTTGGTTGGCATCTAATTTTGCCACGATTTCCTCTTTGTTGGTCCTCAATTTTTTTAGTAGGAGTTCCAACATCTGTTGTGTGGCCATTTTTCTTTTTGCAGGATTACACTCAATGTACTCATAAATTCAACTGTTCGTCGAGGTGTGTTTAAGTTCGTAAACCAATTCTGACACAAAATTGTCACGTGTTGGGTGTATCAAGCGACAAATAACTTTACGTTGTATTGAATATGGCAAATTTATTGAACACTCGCTCTCACACTCACACAATTCACAATTACAATTACTGCCATTGGCAGTATCACAATTACACCAACTGCTCTCAGCGACTGCTAGACTTCTGCTGCACTCAGCGACTTCACGACTCCAATGCTGTTATGTCACTGCGGGGGAAAGGGGTGTCCTGCATAGTGCAAATATGTCACAATATTTTAAGGCAATTAAAAGCGTTGAATGCCAGAAATTTTATTATGAAGTAAGCTTATATTTAAAAACATATTTTTTTTTATTTAAAATGTTCAATTGAATGAGCAGTGAAAAACATTGGATTCTCATTACAAATGTGTAATTCTTGTATATACAGTAGAATGAGCCTAATGAAGTCAGAAGGGATGGAATGAAAATAATTGTTTACAACTGTCTACTGAAGTAATACTTCATGTCAATTTTATGTTAGTAAATGGGTATTTTGTGATTTTTTCGCTGCTCAAAATAATATGAACTAAGCTTTGAGGAAGGAGCCTCAGGATATTAACTAATGTGGTGTGGGTATTTGATTGCCCAGAATTCAAGATTAACTTCTACATTACATAACATGAAGGAAAAGTTATAAATCATCTCTCTTCACTTTTCAATTTTAGATATTTTTAAGAACATTTAAAAGAATCTCCTGACAAATAGTAACATGCAGTGAAACGAAAATTATTTGGAACTCAATGTGTATGTGATTTCAATTTTGTGTCTGTCAACCAGTTTCATTGAGTTATCAGTCATTTTAGCACAACAGAAATTATATAGACCTTGTTAAGATTACATGTGGAAAATAATTTACCTGCTAGCTTATATGTAGCCT